GACAAAGAAGTGCTTAGAAAAATGAAAATCTAACTGCAACACATCTTTTTGCAAAAATTATACTATCAGAATATATAAAACTTAGCTGCAGATGATGCAGAAAGAATATACTATTCAATTTTTTGTGCTAGTATAGTGGCACAAAGTGGGATTCTTTTCTTCAATTATATTTGCCAAATATTTTAACCTCACCTTTGTAAATTTATGACATGTTAAGTAGAGTGTACACATACTCATTTCTCTTTTGATCTCATAATCTTGGCTTTTTCCCCTTTTTTATGCTTCATAGCACATAAACAAAAAATCAACAATTTAATACGTTAAATGTGATTATATTTAAATTATTTTTGAAATTTCTAACAGGATATCTACTATTAGGAGTTTCATATTTCTAACAACTTCTTTAAAAATTATCAAAATCATTCTTTGGGAAACATGGCATAACAAGGATAAGACTTAAGATTTCTCAACTTTCCTAAGCAACTACATCATATTTTTTCTAAATTAAGCCTTCATTAACAAAGTGGTAAGTATAAAAAATTGTTATAAAAACTTATTTATAAAATTTGTTCCTTAAACAGTTAAATTTCTTTTTTTTTTTTTAAGAGACAGAGTTTTACTTTGTCGCCCTTGATAGAGTGCTGTGGCATCACAGCTCACAATAACCTCCAGCTCCTGGGCTTAGGCAATTCTCTCACCTCAGCCTTCCAAGTAGTTGGGACTACAGGTGCCCGCCACAACACCCAGCTATTTTTTAAATAACAGTTTGTTGCAGTTTGGCCAGGGCTGGGTTCAAACCCACCACCCTCGGTATATGGGGCTGATGCCCCACTCACTGAGCTACAGGCACTTCCCTAAACAGTTAAATTTTAATATTACATTTACAATAAAACTTTTAAATATAAGATTGAACAGAAAAGTCATTTAATTTCTCTTTAATTATCTAGGTTATAGTTCAAAAATAAAAATTTAATAAAACAAAAAAGTCTTCTTAGTGATATTCTTAAATAGTTGATCTTTTGAAATTTTCTTAGATCTTTAAATGTTCTTTGTCATTTCATATTCTATAACAAATAAAAAACCTTTAAGAAACAAAATTTATTCTTATTAATAAATGAATAATTTCTGAAAATTCAGATAAAATACTTAAAGTTATTCTATCAGTTGATAAGCAAGCAAATAGTGTTTTTCTAGAATTTGCTAATTTTTCATCCCCCATGAAAAGTCATTTTCTTTTTATTGCAGTGCACTGGAAATAGAGCTAAGTGTTTATTTTTTATTTATTTAATTTTTTGTTGCCTTTGGCAAAGTGCTGTGACCTCACGGCTGACAGCAACCTCCAGCTCTTGGGCTTAGAGGATTCTCTTGCCTCAGCCTCCTGAGTAGCTGGGAATATAGGCGCCCAGGCTATTTTTCTGTTGCAGTTTGGCTGGGGCCAGATTTGAACCTGCCACACTCAGTATATAGGGCTGGCGCCCTACCCACTGAGCCACAGGCACTGCCCTAAGTGTTTAAATTTAAATGTATTGGGAGTAGGGCTACCAGATAAAATACAGGACACCCAATTAACTTGAATTTCAGTTAGACAACAACTTTTTGTATGTCTCGTTTATTGCTTTAACTGAATTATTGTTTACAGTTATGCTCTTGACTTTTATTAAAGGATTATATACTGTGTGACTGTTATTTAAAGTTCCATGTTTCTCTTTTATGTAAAAATATGTGTGACAAATTTCTTATAGAATTTGAGGATAGAAAAAAATATTCCTTCCCAAAGAACAATAATGATTCTTTCGGTCCATTGTGTGTGTTTTTTCTTTTTCTCTTCAACTACCAAGAAATTCAAAACTAATTTCACATGAAATATAGTACCCATACTATCCTATAGTCACAGTAGAATTTCTTCAGTGCTCAGTTTATATTTAATCTCTGACTTTCTTTCATATATAATTAAAGGATTATTGTATATGATTTCACTTTAAGTTACCATTAATATTTTCTATATTTTAAGTTATGAAAATCAAATAAAATGAATGTTTTAAAATATTTGTACATTACTTACAATAGCTTGTTGGCTATAATGATAATCTGACAATGCAGATTTCCCTGCACACCCACAGATGAAAAGTCAACCTTCAATAATTTGAATATCTGGCTCGGCACCTGTGGCTCAGTGGTTAGGGCGCCAGCCACATACACCTAGGGTAGCAGGTTCAAATCCAGCCTGGGCCCGCCAGACAACAATGACAGCTGCAACCAGAAAATAGCCAGGTGTTGTGGTGGGTGCCT